CACTGTTTTTATGCTATTTTCTTCCAAGACCCTGGGATTATTTGTAAGTTCATCTTTTTAATTAATGACAATTTATTCTATTCATCCCAATTCTGTTGATTTTTTAATTATGAATTGTGAGTAGTTTAATTAGGGATTTGGGGTTGATGAAGGGGTTAATCATGATTGATGGCTAGATTCCTTTCGGTTTAATTGCATGAATGTCCGTTTAATTTGTGTTTGAATAATTTAACTGATATCTTTTGTAACCTAGACTGCAGCTAGAATTACAATTGCATGAAGAATGAATTAAGAGAGATCTAATTTGTTCTAGGACACATTCACACACACTTAATCGTTCGCTAAGAGATTAGTAGCGATTAAGGGGCCGTAAGCTCGCTCGTTTTGGCAATAATTTAGGATCCTGTCGCATGAGAGATCAGCCTGGCCCCCTAAATTATTGTACTCTACGTCGCGAGAGCGGTAAGAACTTAGTAATGATTAGCTAGGCTCAATTAAATTAAATTCATGTAATTAGGCCTTGCGACCGTACTCCCCCCAGAAATTTGATTACCCCGGAATCAATTCCTGTTCCCTTCGTCATTAGTTAATAAGAAAACCACATTTATTTTAATCATTCATCTGCATTAGTTTTAATTTTAATTCAATCAACCAATCTCGCACAATTGCATTTTATTTTATTTATTTCTTTTTAATCGCTGAATTTAGTTAATCTTTAACTCCCTTTTGTCCGTTCCTGTGGAGACGATACTCGTACTTTCAACCACTTTTCTACAACTATTTTAAGTGCGAGAAAACACACATCACTCCCCAACATTAATATATAGAGGAAGAAAATAAATACTACTATAACTAATGTTGAGATGTTAACTAATTGTCATTTTAGCAACACTCCCCAACATTAATATATAGGAAGTAAATGAATACTACTCTAACTAATGTCGAGATGTTAACTAATTGTCATCTTAGCAACACTCCCCAACATTAATATATAGATAGATTAAACAAAGAATTAATATTCAAGGGAAGAACTTAAGAAAATAACTCACAACTTTAATAATCAACAAGCTTCAAGAGCAACACCAAGAAATGGAAGTTTAGCTCCTCATTTGGAGACTAAGCATGCTATAAAAATATAAAAGAAATACTATTCTAAACTGAGCTTAAGAGTATGGAAGAAGGGGTGTTTTAATGTGAAGGAAATAGAGTGCATTTATAGCAAAATGGAGGTGGCAGGGTTCTGTACTCGATCCAGTATTCGGGATACTGGACCGAGTATGAGAGCAAATTTCCATGAAATTGTGAAAAATAGGCATACTCGACCGAGTATGACAGGATTTTCATAAAATATTTAGCCACGTTCTTTTGCTCCCAGATTTGATTTTGACCAGCGTATCCGATCAATACTTGACCGAGTATTGAACAAATATCAAAATCTTCATTTGATCTTCTCCCTTTTGCACATTCTTTGGTCTTTAGGATCCATCTTTGATTCTTGGGATGATTTTGACCTGTCCTAAACTCAGAATAATCCTAATCTAAATAAATTACAAATAATTAACGAAAATAAAGTATTACACCAAAAGTGTGTAATTTCCACAACTAGAACTAATAAAATTAGTTAAAAATACAAACATACATAATAGGAAATTCACACCATCACTACTATTCTACTAGAGGAAACATAGGATTGGGGGACCAAAAAATTTACAAGACAAAAATTAAAAATAGTTAATCAAAGGTTTTACTTAACTTTTTAGGGAAGTTATATTTGCAAAAATATTTACGTCTTTATTTTGATGTTATGCTTATCGTTATATCACATTTCACAATTGCATATTTTTTATGGGACATCCCGAACCGTCTCGGTTTTTCTCGGGTTGTCCCGGTCCCGTTTTTAATCTAGTGCACTTCTTATGAAATTTAATAATAAGCGCCCGTTTGATAATATCCAAATTGGATGTATTGGTTGATTTTGTTGAAATTTATGAAGTTCTGACTAAAGTGGCTCAATTAATTGATTATGTTGATTTATGAAAAATTATATTTAAAATATATTTTATTAATTACATAAAGAAAATAAATATGACAAAATAAGTAAAATGATTCTCTATAGTAACTTCAATCAATAAAAGTAACTATAACCTTACCTTTTCTTATCATTATACAATCCAGCGTATAATGATAAGAAAAGGTAATTATGCGTCAAACCCCCTCCAAGAACAAATTTAGTTTCCAAAAAATGAAAAACGATTAGTTTTTTTGTATAATTTAGAAATTTTGACAAAGTTACTTGCATATTCAATCATATTATTACAAAAAGTGATTTCAAAATTGTAAAATTTGTTCTGAGGGTGTTTTGCGCATGATTAATTATAACACAAGGGTTTGACGCATTTTTTAAATCACAAGGGCTAATGCGTCGAATTTATATTTCATGAGGGGGTTTAGTGCATTTCAGAATGATAAAGTATGACGCATCAATGAGTGATTGGACCACTATGATAAAGTATGCAAAACCGGATACTTCACTAGGGTGCCGTATCGGCGTATCGGAAATGTTCCCGTATCTGATACTTTAGGATACCCATACCATACGTTCCTGGGCCGTAACTGCAATTTTTAAAAGTTTCCATTTTATTTGGTAATTATTTTAAAATTTCAGATACTCGTATCATGACGGATACCCGTATCAACTTTTTATAATAAAAAATCATCCAAAAAAAACTTTTTATAAAAACAAAATGAAAAGCTAAATATAAATTTTACCTTGCTTTTACGTGGTACACACAATATTCTAAAAGACGTAAGGTGTGACTAGGCGGCACGTCCAAGTCCCAAGCCTTTAAAGCCTAGGTGAGTTTAGGCGGCCCCAAGGCGTGAAAAGGCGTTTTGATTTTTAGTTAAACATTTTAATTTTTATAGAGCTACTGGTAAATATATACATGTAAAATTTGATAATATCATGTAAAAGTACCAACATTTTACATTTTCTATCAAAAATAAACTTGTACAAGTATAATGACACACACTTTAAGTATAAATATTAGGCAAGACCATGCAAAAGTATTACATTTTTCAAGAAAAGCAAAGTTTTAGAGTTAACAATGACATATAATGTAAGAAATGGTGAAATAGGACAATGAAATAATACTCCATTCAGCTTAGATAAAATGTTTCACTTGGCTCTTCTGTAAATCCCATCTAAAGGTTATCATTTCTGTTTATGTAAATAATTAACACTCTTAAATGATAATTTAATCATCACATATTAATTAATATTAGAACAATCATAACATCACAATTATCATTAATTATTGATTATATTTTATACTCACATAAAATTATTTTTCAAAGTATACTCAAAATACCTTATATAATTTTTGTCTAAAATCCACACCATTTTGAATTAAAACCTTAAGTTGGACGAATGTATTATATAAGAATAATATAAGAATAATACTCCGTAATACGGAGTAGTAGTCATAGATTCATAGCAAGAATATACTTCCTCCGTCTCGCTAAGATTGTCTCATTTTAACTTTTCGGGAAATCTTACTAAGATTGTCTTATTATAAATACATCCCTGTAACTTTTAATATATATAAATACACCCTCATAACTTTTAGTATTTATAAATATGTCTCTGTATCCGTGTCCTACTTTTTTTTGTTTTGTCATATCCCCGTACCCATTTTCGCATTTCCGCGTTTCCACGTACCCGTATCGGTGCTACATAGATGCAAAGTAAATTTTACTTTCTATCATCCACTAAAATTGTCTCATTTTTCATTTTCGACCTGCCTCAATAAGATTGCCGCATATCAAATTTGATAAAATTCGTACTATAATCAACCAGCGGGACCGACTATGTTCCGGGACAGGGCCGGGCCTGGGTCGGGTACCATTTTTTTTGTTAGTGCTTATTAATTCCAACCCCCCCACAACCCCAAACACTCCCAAATCACCCAGCCCAACCCGCCTCTTACCCAAACCTGTCGAAGAAACCCAAAAAAAGAAAATTGGACCTGGACCGGCCGGGTCGATACCAAGAGAGCTACAGCCCGAGACCGCCCCCAAAATACCCCCGGATTGGGTCCTAGGCCTGGGCCCAGGCCCGGTCAACTGGTTCGGGCTAGGCCCAGGCCCCCAAATCCCGTACAGTGACGATCCGGTCCGGTTCCCGAGCCGGTCAGACCGGTCCCGGGCCACCCCTATGCGCACACACAGAGTATGTGAATAGTGTAGGAAATCCAATTTTAACCACATTCCCTCACTAACCTTGCAACAACAACAACATTACTTCAATGCCGCCAAGACTCCTACCTTTGAAGATAAGAAGAATTGAATGTACAAAGTCTTATCACCGTACTAAAGCACATAAAGATGCTTACCGGATGAATCATGATGAAAATTAAATGGATTGACTGCTTAAGTGAACTATTTTGTTAATTTGTTTTATTCCACCATATTTTCAATTAAACAAATAGTGAGTATTTGACTCCTTCACTAATCTTTCAAATGTCAACAAAAATACTTTCTCCCCCTTCTTGAGCACACCTAGACGAGGGTTCTTGCTTCCTAGGTCATTGAATGTTCTCATTTTTCCATCTTGAGGGTTTGTTTGAAGGTATGTGTTTTTGGTTTTGATAGACTTACAGGGCAGGGTAATGAATTTTTACTTCCTCAAACTGAACATCCTTAACCTGGACGGACATGTGAGGGTAGGTAAGGCTAGGGTGAGGAGATCAAATTCCTTGATGGAGAGACAAATTTGTCTCAAGTCTTCTATCTTCGTATACCTTCAAACTGGATATATGCTCTAAATGAGGCTATTTATTGGGATTGTATGGGGGTTAGGGACTTAGGGTCTACATTTGTGGAAAGTCAATCTTAGTTATTCACTTTTTTGTAAGAATCAGTCAAGAATCAAGGTACAATAGCCTGTGGTCAGCCTCACTGCCTCACAGGGATCAAACCCCACAAATGGTCATTTTTTCTTGTGTTCATTTTGTTGGTATTGCTATAAATTAATAAATTAATAGGGATCAAACTGCACGTCATAAACCTTTAGCTACATAAACCAATTCTTGGCTCCTAATGTCTGAATAGAGTTTTTTACCCAAGAACCAATTATTTAACTGATTTATTTGTTTACAAGTATACACTACCTTTATTCAATACCGGAGTCCGGAGGTTTCAAATAATATGTTCATTTCAGATACAGATATTGAAAATAAAGTCACGGCAAGTGATAGCTGTTATTCACAAGAACACTTGGCACAAGAACTTCTATGCTCGCTTGCTTCAATCATAATAGTTTGTTCTGGTGAACTTTTGATCTCATGTTTCTGCTTGGGTTTGAAGTTGTTCCTGCGCAGAATAAATCCAAACTGAGACACCAGATTGAAAATTAACGCAAATTGCCAAGTACCACTAAACAAACCATATATATATACAGTATTGGTTACAATAATGAAGCGTGCCAATATGCATCGTATAAGCCCCAATTGGGTTAGAGCGTGACAATGCTTAAAAAGTGTTCTTTTGCTTCTTGCCAAAAAAAATTAGCGTTTTCAAACATGTGCTTCTCTTTATATTAGAATACTTTAAAACTAAAAGATGTACGCAGAGAGAGGGTGCTTAAAAAATGTTTTTGATTATACTACAATTTGACCTAAATAATAATATAATATCCTAAAAGATGCACGTAGTAGTATTTTACGGTTATGTTGGCAAACAATTTAAAAAAATCCGCTTTTGGCTCAAAAAAAGCTGAAATGAGTGTTTTCAAGTGACAACTTTTGCTTAAATTAAACACTTAAAAATGCTAAAAGCTAAAAACCGCTTTTGACTTTTTCTATTACACAAAAAGCCCATACTTTATCAAACACTACCAACTTTTACTTTTCAAAATCAATTTTTTCTAAACATTGCCAACTTTTACTATTAAGCACTTTCTCAAAAATCACTTTAAAAACACTTCTATAAAAGCAAAAGCAATCTAAAACACTCCCTAAACCAAACCTCTAGCTTCTACTTGTCTAAAATCACTTCTATTTTTTAAAAATTCTATCTTTTACAATAAAGTGAACCCAAAAACCAACTTTACTGGTAAACAGGCTCATATAAAAAGGTTGGCACTCCAAACCACCCCACCATTGGCATGATGGAGGAGTACGATTGCGCAAAGTTATTCCACAGGCCTCTCATAATGATTGAATCTACACTTTTTCGATTGAACTTCTGGCCAGAACAATCCAACTACGTTGGCACCCGCACACTCCGGTTGGTTACAAAACATCACAATGAGATGATAGACCTAGCGAATGGCTGGGTACCGCTCGAGACAATAATATTCATGTCATTGTTCTTTTTGTTTAAAAAAAATAGTTGATAGAACAGGTACCTCAGTAACAAAGAAGGCATGGAACCCATAAGGAACTCTTTTGGGCAATTCAACAACAGCAACACGATCAGATGACATTGTTTTTGCATCAATGACCTCCACTGCTGATTTCCTGTACAAAATTATTGATGGAGATGTTCATGACCAAAACCTAGCATACTTCTTTTATTCTACACAAGAGTCGAGGATGGTAAATACTCAGGCTCCAATTATTTCCAGTAAATTATTCTCATTGAAGGTGTTTTTGATAGAGAGCGGGAAGAGCATGGGGTGGGACCGGGCTTGGGCCCACTTCCGTGGGCCGGTTTAGGGCTGTTGTTATAGTCTATTTATTTTTATTAAGTTAATGTTATAATTTAGTTTGGGCCTATTATTAGTAGAGTATTTAGTAGAGTTATTATGGGCCTAATTAGGAGTTATTTATTTTGGGCTTAATTAGGGTTTCCCGGGAGTCTGTCATTAGTAGGTTATTTATACCCCTTATTCATTCTTAATCATCTTGGAATAAAAAGTCAGTTTAGCCTTTTGGCTCTGGGCAACGGTATTTTTTATCGTTGATTATCTGGGCAACGGTTCACCCCGTTGATTTATTTTTCCGCTTCATATCAGTTTTCTATATATTTGTGTGTTTGGTAGCAGAAAATATGTTCATCCATCTTTAAAGGGTTTTTGGAAAATGACTTCTTTTGTGAAGAAATTTAATTATTTCTGTGTCCATTAAACATTATATCACACATTTAACTGTTTTTTCATGAAAACATTGTTACACAAAGTTTTTCAAGGAAAATATATCATGCTGACTTTTCTCCCTACAATCAAACGAAGGTTCCATTCCCATTGGTTGCTGAAAATGAACTTGTTTAAGATGTTTTACATAGAATATCTCCTAGAAAATGCTCTCTGATGGAGAATAAGTTGTTCTATGCATATACTAGATGCAAGAGTGTATGACCCACAAATATAGAAAGCACAAAAAGTAGGAAAATGACATAAAGTTTTGAAAACAAATAACCACAATCCAATCTACATCGACTTATTTTCATGAAGTCAAACAGTGCTACAAGATTATCAGTGTCGATTTAAGAAGTTTATGTATGAAGTGAGATGTGGAAGTACCCGGTGTTCTCATCGTGTACAAAGAATATCAAGTAGCCATCATCCTCTTCACATGTGCTACTTGTCTGGCGAGGAATGAAAATAGCCTCAGAACCAAATTTGGCAGGTCCTAGGTCAAAGATGCCTTGAACATTTCCTCCCACTTCAAGCTGTGTTTTTCCAGTCTGCGGTTCAGCATGCAAATCAATTTTGATAATCCCTTTGACCTTTGCAATGCTGTTTAATATGGTCCCGTAAACATATCGTTGTTTCCTGAACATGCACAATGTCACAATTATTTTGCCAGTTTCTGATGTGCAGGTATAGGTTCAGGTAATGTTTATTAGAAAAAGGGGCAAAAAGACAAATATCCCTTTAAGGACATTTTTTCCTTTCACATCCGTTACCTAAAACTTTCCATGAATCCAAGCTTGTACATAGAATTTGTTATTATGTCATAGAAGCTCTTTACATACAGATACCTTAACCCTAAACCCTATACCCTAAACCCTAAACCCTAATTTATAAGGAAGTGCAGAATTGACCTATAGAGTTCTCACCTCCCAGTGTAGTTCTCATTCACCCTTGGAAAATCAACAGAAGACTCAGACAGTTTCTTTTGTGAAGCTTGACAACTTTTCATGTTAAACCTCATTTCATACCTAACAAGCATGAAAGGAATAACTTTTCAGTAAATAGTCAGTTGTATATATAAATGATGCCACACACGGGATGTCAGATCCTACAACTCATTTGCAAAATTCTCAAGATCATCTTTGACAGCTCCATTAACCATGTCTAGATCTAGATTTTCAATGCGGCATGTAATCAGAACAACTTCATCTCCCTCCTCCCATGCATTTGCTAAAATGGATTCAGAAAAGAATAGAGGGTCAGAATTTCAGTATAAAATGAAGATAAGTTAATCACTACTTAAGATTCTACATGGTTATGCCTAGTACATATTGCAAACCAGCATGGAGATGAAAAAGGAGCTTTCAGTTCTAGATTTAATTACAATTGAGAAATTACGTGGTAAAGACCAGAGCTCCCTTCAGAGGTTTCTAAAGGCAACTTCTCCAAACAATATGAATAACAAAAGCACATAGGCTTATTCCACATTTTCACCACAGCAAATGTATACTAAAGAATTAGGATTAACTCTTTTGTGCTTCAGTTGTTAAAAATTCTGGCTGCTTGAAAGGGATAAACCACTGAAATGACTGAATAAGAGATCTCTTTCCTCCCTTTTCTTCTCATTGCTTGTAGAATAGACTGGGCACTTAATGTTTTCTGCTACCTTTCTTTTGATTGAATAAATGAAAACAAAACTTTTGGATGCACTATGAAACGATGCAACTCGGGTATTTTTATTGTTCCTGTTGTGTGGGAAGAGTGATGTACTAACTGGATTATGTACATGTTTGGCAGATATATGTATCACTACTATCTAGCTTTTTACTATTTAAATAGTCCCAAAAAGCTTGTTGTATGTTTCATACAACAGTTTTTGGGATTTGTTTTTAAATTTAACATTTTCAGAACCTACTCTACGTAGCTTCTAAAAGAAAGTTTGTTACTTCAGCATTAGTTACAATTTCATATAGTTGCAACAACTTGCTATACCAAAAAGGACTGCATGAAATGATACGCTCTTATTAAGAAACTACACTATTGCCTATTTAAGAACTTTTCCATAACTAAAAGTTAACCGTTACTTAAAAGCTCCAAATATATCTTTTCAGCTACTCGTGCCAAACATACACCATGCCTAATTACTGCTTTCGTATCTTAGGACATATTACAATCTTCAATATAATATTGTTATTTAGAACAGCATCCCTTTGAAACCTTAAAGACATCCAAATATTATAAAATTTAACCCTCACCATTGTGAAATATGAAGCAGTTAGGAAGCTCAAACCATTTGATTAATGTTTCATTCTTTGCATAGCGTGGCAGGACTCCAAAGCGTGCCTTTTTTGTTCTATCAAATTTAAATATGAACTCTTTGTTTTTAACCATTTCCTGAAAAGTAAAACTAAAGAATATTAGGATGAACTTTCAAGATTAATTTTATCATTTGCTGTAGATTTTGGACTAATGAAACAACATTTACATCGCATGGTAACATGGTTACATCTATCTTATATATGGTGAGTTTGCTAAGCACATGAATTGGCTATTATGACTTCAAGAAGTGTCATTAGCATGAACTTAACAATTTAAAAGAAATGTGAACATGATAGGAATCATAGGATACATACTATATTCTTAACATATCTGAATATGTGCAGGGACAATGGAATAAAGTTCGATTACATTCAAATCTCTGACCTCACTGTCTATCAAGGAATCACTTTTCATTGCATCAAACATTGGGATATGATTTTCACTATCTCTTGCATACGGAAGATTTTACATCAAAACCGCATCATCTTAAATCACATACCGGCTATGGTCAATGGTGCGGCTAAAGCAATCAGCCTCGGTGTTGATGTTAAATCTAACCGTTTCCTCAATATCCTCAAATTTGATGCCATTGCGTTTCCATATGTTACTCATGTCACTTGATTTACCTTACCATCTTTTTTCTTTGAGTAGGTTTTGGCCTCATGTCCCCCTACTATGTATCCTCCTTAATTTTAATTAATAAAATAAGTTTTTAATGAAAAAAAATAGGATAGATACTAAGGCCAAACAGATTGTAGTATCATGATAAAGAGAATAGATGATTCAAATGGTAAAAAACATTATATTCTACAGAAACGTGACATAAATCATCTAGATTCTATCTAGCGACTTCTTGTAATTTAATCACACGAGCAAAAGGAACTTAGACAATCTCTTGCAACATATTATTCAAAGTATCTCACTGTGAAGATGTAGACCCTGTTGGGTAATCCTTATTTTTAGCTTATCAACCTCGTCAATCAACATATTTACCAAACATAATTTTTTTTTATTTCCCACGCTAAATTGTGTAATAATCAAAATAAATAAGGTTCAAGTTACCGCAGAGGACCATTTTCTGGTTGAATTGGCTTGAGTTACTGCAAAGGACCATTTTCGCTATTTTTCATAGGATTTTTCTTAATTTTATTAATAGAATATATTTTAAAATTAATCTTCTTACAACTCAGCAGATTCATCCAATTCAGTCACTTCAGCCAGAATTTCATCTGTTTCAGCCAATTCAACCTATTTCAATGTTACCAAACGAGCTCATAATAACAATATTTTTACTTCAAAGGCGGATCTCATGTGCAATACTCCTCTAATTAGAATATCACTAGTAAAATTCAAGTTAGAAAAGCATTACACCTTTGGTCTGAAATATAAAGGGAGATCCATGAAAATCGCATAATTCTCAGTGATGGCAAAATCATGCATCATGACAGGTTCTGGTATTGTTATTGGGACTGGTTCATTCATAACTCCATCCTTCGATACAACTCTGTATGTGAGATAGGGTGCAGTAGTGGAATAGCCGAAGGTAAACATCTCTCCTGCATTGAACATTATCTAGTCAAAATGAGCAATTTCACATTGTGTGAGGAAAAAATAACAATTACTCGTACATGTTTGTTGGATAATGTTGCATTGCTGCAACTGACCATGAAGTAATTCACAATGTCTTAAACATTGAAAATATATTGGGTCAAGTGTGTACTATGAAAGCACCTTTTTGAGGTACTTAGAAATTAGAATATTGCCAACCAAATAATGTTGTTCCAGCAATGATAGATTTAAGGAGAGGTTAAACTATGTTAAGCCAAGAGGAAGCAGGATGTTGGCTGGTGTCTATATGAGAGAAAACTAATGTGCCTCATAAGACAGAAAAGTGCTAGGGGGACGACTCATAGATGCTTTATTTGAAGGGAGTGTGTGATGACTGGTGAGATAAACCCATGGATGCTTTTATTAAGAACATATATTTGTATGATTTGATGTCCTTTTATTCTCAAAGCATACTATTGGAAATACAGATAGCACTATTACCCATTATTGGAATATATCCATCATTTGCAATGGAGCCAAAGACTCTATTTTTTGGCTTGGGAATATGATGGAATAAAGCAAAATGGTTCACTAAACTGTCTGCGCTTCTTTGTTATGAAGCTGTAGTTAGTCCATGCAATTTTTGATGCAATTGGGTCATCCGGAAACAGTCTCTATGTCCTCTAGTGCAGGGGTAAGACTGCGTAGATCCGACTCCCCTTACCCCACCGTAGGTGGGAGCCTTTTAGTACTGGGGTAATGATGATGATGATGACTATTACCCGTTATTGGGTCAACCTTCGGATGAGCAGTAAAGGGATGTGACAATCTCTCATCATAATCCAGCATGCCAAGTGTTTGTAGATCTCCATCCTCCAAAACCTTAACGACGTCTGGACAGGGTATCACAATAAAAAACATTTCAATACTATACTTATAAGAAATTACATAAGTGCAACTGCAAACTAAAAAATAACCCAAAACCATGCTCTGACGGGGATCCAGAATTATACTCCGTGAATTATTACCGCAAGACAAACTAAAGAAAGTAAAAGAAATTGAGCTGGATGGTGTATAGCACATGGTTCATCAAATAGGTACATTGAAAATAAGGAAGGGTTCAAATGATAGGTGTATTATGTGCAACGTATTAAAATGGAATGGAAACAAGAGAGATCTGCCATACATGGTTTGTCGCCCTCTGAAAGTGCCAAAAGCTTCCTGTGGTGATAAATAAGAGCTGTATTGGCTGGAAGAAGATAATCGTATTTACACTTCGTGATTCTTGCTTAGAGATATCCAATATAGATGAAAAAATTGCCATGACACACCGAGAAGAAGAGCCATGTTGCTACTAGTAGCAATCCATGAGTTCACCTACCCGTGCCAGTTCCATAGGAAACATCTAATACTTTCAGCTTTGCTCTTAGCATTTGCATGTAAACCATAACCAGTCCAAAGAAGCCCTTGAGATCTCCAATCTGCAAATTATCAAACAACATTATGCATGTATAATAATGACCTCATCAGGCCTACCTGAAAGGATTCTGTCAGGAGAAAAAAAATCATTCAGACACTTATATCACTTTAATGTTTCACATTTCTTCTGCACACTAGAACCCCATCAGTTTCCCAACCCGACCCAAACACAAGGATTCAATATTTGTGAATATAGATGTCAGAGACTTTCGTTTCTCTCAGCTACCCAAGCGAGTAGTGTTATAAGATGATCACCCGAGTTTTAGAGTTTCTCACATCTATTTTAGCATAAATTGAACAATTTGAGAACTTTTGAACTCGGAAACAGATTTGGGGGACCCATGAGTGAAAAAAGTTGGACCGTGAAGTGATCTAAATGTCGCAATGGATTTTGGCCAGACAAAATCCTGAATGTCTCCATCATGACTTTATGATTCCTCTCTATCTCTATCTCTATCTCTATCTCTATCTCTATCTCTATCTCTATCTCTATCTCTATCTCTATCTCTATCTCTATCTCTATCTCTATCTCTATCTCTATCTCTATCTCTATCTCTATCTCTATCTCTATCTCTATCTCTATCTCTATCTCTATCTCTATCTCTATCTCTATCTCTATCTCTATCTCTATCTCTATCTCTATCTCTATCTCTATCTCTATCTCTATCTCTATCTCTATCTCTATCTCTATCTCTATCTCTATCTCTATCTCTATCTCTATCTCTATCTCTATCTCTATCTCTATCTCTATCTCTATCTCTATCTCTATCTCTATCTCTATCTCTATCTCTATCTCTATCTCTATCTCTATCTCTATCTCTATCTCTATCTCTATCTCTATCTCTATCTCTATCTCTATCTCTATCTCTATCTCTATCTCTATCTCTATCTCTATCTCTATCTCTATCTCTATCTCTATCTCTATCTCTATCTCTATCTCTATCTCTATCTCTATCTCTATCTCTATCTCTATCTCTATCTCTATCTCTATCTCTATCTCTATCTCTATCTCTATCTCTATCTCTATCTCTATCTCTATCTCTATCTCTATCTCTATCTCTATACACACAAATAAACAGATAGACTTCATACAGCAGGTAAACATTTACTAGGTGACCATTTCTATGAGGCCATTTTATAGCTTTGGGTTCCAATCAACTATTCAATTTACAGAGTTACTAGAAGATTGAATTTTAGGTCAATATACACCAAAGTATAGGGCAGTGCGGTGCATATTGGCATCCCTGCAAGGAGAGTTAAATCGTTGAAGGCATTTATAATGAAATAATGGATTAAATATAATGAATGCTAGCTTCTTATTTTTATAACTTAAAAAATTGTTTTAGGACTCTTTTTGGGGACAGAAATAAGTTTCAAAGTGGATGATCTCAATTCAAATCACACCTTCATAAACTTAGCTCCTCCAAAAAACTGTTCTTGCTTCAGACGTGATGTCTTCACAAAACGAGAGACATATGTTGCTTTTCCATCTTTGATGCGCAAGCCATGAATCATTCTGCGCAAAAAGGACAGTGATTGCAGATCATAGTTGAATTTAAATAATTAAAATTAAAATGTGCTTAGAGGTAGAAGTGAAGACATAGAACTCAACACACCCATCTCCATCAAACCTGCAAATAAGAAAAACGAGAATAAGCTAGTGACCTAATATTATAACATTGGTGCTTTACTGTTCCTACAAAATAGCCAATGCCACAGCTTAGAAAATATTTGACATTACTCAAATGTATGCTAGGCAGAGGGGCAAGAATGTAAGACAACTCTTTATAGGAAAAGAAAATGGGACCATGGATATTGAAAGACCCAGTTGAGATAACGGTAGTCATAAAATGACATACCAATGGTAGCCCGCCACCGGAGTGAAATTTGGATTGGGACCAACTCTGACAAACTCACCATTGAGGCATTCCTGCAAAACAAAAACTATTACACAATCCGTATTATTCATAATTCGGGAAGCACAGGCTATTCTTTACCACAGCATCTGAACTCATCAGTCATCACGTGTCACAGATGCTTCATACATAGGGCACTTTATGAACGTATCACTAAGAGAAAATAATTCTACCACTAGTTCAATGTTTAATTGCATGAACTGAGAAAGAAGGTAGCAAACCAAATTTCCATGCACATTCCAACTTAAAAGGTACTGTTGTTTAACAGTTTCCTCTTAACAAGTTAGATCGTGATTGAAACTGGCTATAATTCTTACAGCAACATCAGGCTATTAACACTAGAATCATTTGGTGGAAATGTTCTACTCATATGAATCATACGGAGTATTAGTTTGCAACAAAAAATATTGAAAATCTGTACTACTGAGTATATGCTCCCACTTGTCCATAAAGGTTTTACAATTTAACTATTCATGTGGTCAATGTAACTTCTTTATTCTTCTTCAGTGTAATTCCTAAACATGTAAATTCCAGAATCATTCAATCGTGTAAACTGAAAGTGGCAAACCAATTTGGGACGGGTGGTATTATATCACAATATCACATAAGAGACTAAGGCAGTGCCTCTTTGGTATGAAACTGACTTGATCAACCATATAAAAGAACAGATCAATAGCACCCAGTTCTTACAGTCTATTTTTAAAATCGTGTCACGTGGATAAAAATTTGAGCTTTGATATCAACTTTTCACTTCCAAGCTCGTCCACAAGAATCCTTGAATTATAAATGAACTCATCAATTCGAAAAGTTCTAATCTCTAACTTACAGGAAGCTGGCCGATGACAGGAAGGTTTTTACAAGGAGCAGTTTCTTCCGGAGCAGGAGCGAAATTACCAGAAAGGTAGTGAAGCGGTTTTGAAGAATCGTGCATCATCTTAACAATCATCCATTCCAACCAATCTATGGCATTGGAGATCATGCTATCTTGCGGCTTTGGGTTCACTACCACCATTCCTCCAGCCTTTCGCTCCACTGCACCATCATCTTCCTTCCTTCCCATCTTTCTTTCTCTCACTCTCACAGGTCCAAACTGGGAAGCTAAAATGTGTGCCTGAATATAGAGTCGTATGATGGTGTGGATGTCGTTAAGGACCACGTGTCACTCACATCTTCCGCGTACATTATATCTCATTTCTCCTCAACTTTTTTGTTTTACTTAATAAATTTATGGGAAAACTGTCAAATAGGTCCTCGAACTTTCTTAAAAAGGTCAATTAAGTCCTTCTATAGCAGGTTTTATCCGGCCGTCGCGATTTGAGGCAGTTCCCGGTGGATTTTTTTGATGAATTTTTTTGAGCATCTTATTCACCAAGTCTAGTTTACTCATACTAAATTCCAGCTAAAAATTCAATCGGGAACACATTCAAATTAATTCTTGAAGATAACTGCGCATTTTTGCGTTCTTGAATTAATTTGAATGCGCTCCCGATTAAATTTTTAGCTTAAATTTGGTATGAGTAAACTAGACTTGATGAATAAGATGCTCAAAAAATTTCATCAAAAAATTCCACCGGGAACCGCCCCAAATCGCGACGACCGGACAAAGTCTCCTATAGAAGGACTTAATTGACTGTTTAATGAAAGTTCGAGGACCTATTTGATAGTTTTCTTATTTTTGAAATATTCATGCAAAGTAAAAAGAAAAAAGAAAAAGAGAAATAGTCCCAAAATAATACTTTGTAAAATAGGAGTTTAAGATTTAAATTCTTTAAATATAATATGACTTCCTATTACCCTTGTGCACTTATTATTTCATTTAATTCTCTATTTTTTCGTTTTCTGGACGATACTTTTCATTTGCTTTAATTGATTTTTATTTTGTATTAATTTCGATCATTGTCTTTTTGAAAATCTCACATTTCTCCCTTGTTTTTCTTTATTAGTTAGAGTCATTTATAGACCCGGGGAAATGCAAAATTGAGTATATTAGATTTATTCCATTATGAAAATCTGGGGTTCCATCCTAAAAGGTCAACCTGATAGGAAGGGTAGCTTGAAACCTTATATAGTGTTTATTTGTTTTATAACTTTCCGGTGTGGGACAAATGCTTTAACATCCGCAAATCGTAATCTATACATTAGATTCAAATATATATTTTTGTTATGTGTGACTTTATGTCACGATATTTTCTAGATTATTTGCTCTTTTGTTGAACGCCGATGTATATTTGAGATTTATATGGCCAAATCTGTCGCGACCAAAAATAATCAACTTGAATTGAATAGAATTAATTTAAATGAAAGCTGATCATTATCTAATTTGGTAATATAATTCCTGAAAATATAAATGTGAATTAACATGATCAGAAAACATTATGAACATTTTTTTTTTTGATCATCAAAACATTATGAACATTGAAAAGCCAACAAGAGCTCTAATCAAATCAAATTTCACAAAAGTGGGTTAATTAGGCATCATTTCATGATAATAGTAATATCACTTTTATCATTTAAGTGATTGAGGTTTTCTTCTTTTAAACATAGAAAATTGATCCAACTATTTTGCTTGGTTTAAAAAAGCGTGCCTAAGGCGCGCAAAGGCGCGAGGCGCCTCTGGGCGATGACTTCATCGCATCCAAACATCCCAGGCGCAGCAGATTCCATAAGGCGCGCCTTTTACCTCGCCTAGTGCCGCTTTTCGCGCCTCTTTGAGGTGTCGCTTTTCACGCCTTAGAGAATATGTCCGCTGACCTTCCTTCAAGCCTTTGGCGATTCATCCTGCTCGCCTAGACTTCACTCCATCAACTCAAAGTCTCAAACCTTTCGCTTTTTCTGTCGCACATCATTGCCGTTTTTCTTTTTCTTTTTCTTCCGTTCTCTTGTTTCTTTTGTTCGGCTGGGTACGTTTCTTTCTTCTGTTCTGTTTGTCTTTCTTCCTCTTGTTTTTCTATTCTTTATATTTTTATTTGTTAAATAAAAAAATAATTCAAATTATGTAAATATATAACCATATAACAATCTTCCCTAAGCTTATTAAAAAAACAATCTTCCCTAAACCCTAATACCAATCCGAATTTTATCAATTTTAAAAATAATAAATATGTTTTCTCAATCTGTGAATCTGATTGTTTAACTTTATACTCTTGATATTTTATAACAATTAGTCAATTATATATGACAGCTTGTTGTTATTAATAATCTTTATATACAAGTTTATTTTAAAATTTACTATTAATGGCTTAGGATTAGTAATAAGTATTAACAGTTTATTGTAAATATATTTACTATTAATAGAAGTATTTTTTAGAAAAGTGCTTCATGTAGAAGTTGTATAAATATATTTTACCAAAGATATGTGGTTTAGTTCAGTGAGGCACGCGCCTCGTCGCCTTGCGCCTCACGCCTCGGGTAAATCGATGAATCGCCTCATGCCGCCTCGCGCATTTTAAAACTAAGCTATTTTGGTGGATCTTGTGTCTTTTTCAGGACAAAATTGGAATCAAATTAAATTGAACACAATCTAATTTTATAAGATTGCGTATATATTTTCAAACATACACTACAACAAAAAGTGTTAATTTTTGGAAGACTACTATCCTCCAGAAGAGTCACTCTAGCATTAATTTAGAATATAATGTCTAGAAGGTCTTAATTGATCCTTGTGAGGTGGAACAATTGATTGGTCCCAAAGAACTAAATGTAATTGTACTCTTTTTCTTTAATCAAGTTTTGTCTCGTATGATTTTCTTGACCCAATGTTTAAATGAGGTAGTTTGTGATCTTCAAAATTTTGGAGTATTATATTTCTACATAAGAGTGAATTCAAAAGTAATCCATAAGATTAGGCCCCGAAGGCTAACGATTGTACTCTTTTTCTTACTAAGTTTTTCCCACGTGGTTTTCTTAGTTAAATGTTTTTAATGAGGCAGTCCATATAACACATCATTTTACATACATTAAGTACTCTTTTCCTTGATTAGTTTTTTCCCAAAGGGTTTTTCCAAAAAGGTCTCGAGTTCGAAACCCGCTAGGCACATAAGGGTTTGAAACTCAATAGGCCGAGTATCAGCCCTGATTACTCCAGGCTCTCCCTAGCCCCCTCCCCCAGACCCTCCTGGAGTAAAAAAAAACTATATACTTCCTTCGTTCTTAATTAAATGCAACGATCAACTTTTCACATTTGCCAATGCACCACTATGGCCATTACTATATATAATTCTCTATTAGTAAAAGAATTTAAAAACCCATATTTTGAAAATTTACAATGAGACAAATTTATTAATATTTTTTTTTTCAAAAAAGAGTATTAATATATTAAAAAATATAATGTAATCAAAATAGAACTCGTGAATAGTGTAAAATTCAATATGTTGCATTTATTTAATTTTACGTAGTAGCAGATCAGACTATCAATAGTGTTTTTGAAACGTAAAAATTGGCAGTGTTTTGTAAAATAAATCTTTTTTGTGCAATAGAAAAGGTAAATATCATTTTTCACTCAAAACCCGAGAAACATTTTTTTAAGTAGAAATTATCACGTCAAAATACTAATTTTTACTTTTAAACGCTTTTTTAAGTTATTGCAAACATCCACTTGAGGCCAGGCCAACTGCCTTCTTTGCTCTCCTTAAAGTCCGCCACTCAGAAAGTCAGAAATTACTAATGATGCATCTTGTATGATTTGGAAGACTTTGGGCTTAATTACAATGGAATATATGATTTGGAAGACTTTAGGCTTAATTACAATGACATTTTCTTACTTGTCAGAATGACCCCTTTTAATAATAATAATAAAAATAATAACAACAACAACCCGACCACGGCATACAGTCGCCATCAGTTACGTCAGAGGGCCTAATTAGCAATACATTTTAACTACTTAGAATGTTCCTTTTTAATACTAATAATAATAATAATAATAATAATAACAACAACAACAACAACATCAATAATAATAACAATAATAATAAGGGATAAGGGTCAGATAAGGCCTCGAACTTGAAAAAAAATGTCAAATAAGGCCATATTTAGGATGCTCTGTCCGGCCGACGCCATTTGGGGTTGTTCCCGTTGAAATTTTTTGATGAATTTTTTTGAGAATCTTATTCATTAAGTCTAGTTTAGTCATATCAAATTTGAACTAACAATTCAATCGGGAAGGCATTCAAATGAATTCATGAAGATAATTGCGCTTTTAACGGTACAGTTATCTTCAAGAATTCATTTGAATGCCTTCCCGATTTAAGTTTTAGTTCAAATTTGATATGAGTAAACTAGACTTAATGAATAAAATTCTCAAAAAATTTCATCAAAAAATTCTACCGGGAACCACCCCAAATGGCGTCGGCCGGACAGAGCATCCTAAATATGGCCTTATTTGACATTTTTTTTCAAGTTCGAGACCCTATCTGACCCTTATCTCTAATAATAATAATAACAACAACAATAGTACTTTTATTTTACTAATAAAAGTAATAACCCGGCCACAGCGGCCTTCCGTCATCAATTACGTAAAAGGCCTAATTACAAATGCATTTTTGAACTATCTATTCAAAAAACATTTAAAGCCTAGTCTATTACGCACGTATAGCGGTGTAGGAGTATATATATAAGATCCATTTGTGTATCTTTGTCGATCTGTATTATATCCGGATCCAACTGTCATCACTGACTACTTTACATAAAACCATACCAAGAAAAACATACCACCCATTAAGTTACACCTAATCCGAGATGGAGGCTGCTTCCAGCTTACTTGCAGTGTGTGTTGTATCATCAGTGGCATCCTTACTCATAATATTATGGGGAGTGATGGATTGGGTGTGGTTCAAGCCCAAGAGGTTGGAAAAGTGCCTTAAACAGCAAGGCCTTAAGGGTAACCCCTACAGGCTCCTCTCTGGAGACATGAAAGATATTGCCAGCATGATAAGTGAGGCCAATTCCAAACCCATGAATCCCTCCGATGATTATATTGCTCCTAGACTCCTTCCCTATACTATTCACCTCATCAACAAATATGGTAATTATTACTTACTCCCTACTGTTTTATATATATATATTTTTCATTTGGAGTCCTTTTGAGAAAAATGTTGGTTCAGAGCCTGAGTCAATTTCGTAACTCCGCAACTGGATGAATTTGTTGAAACTGCTTAAATTCCGACTGAATCAGTGAAATGACTGAATTTATGGCTTGTAATTAGTAGGTTGTCTTTAAAGATTAAAGAATGAAGAATACTTTGGAAAATGTCAACCCTGCGGTATCTTTTTGTCATAGACTTTTATGGGTACCTTTGTAATAATACTCCATCCGTATCTATTTAATTGATCTGTATGCTTTTTCACGTAGTTTAAGGCAAATATATGTAAAGTGGGAGGTTTTTGGTATTGTAGCGGTACTGTAACAGTACTGTAGCAGTACTGTAGCTGCTTTTTGAGTGAGTTTATTTCCAAAAAGGGAATGAGACATTTATTTTGATACGTTCCAAAAGGGAAAGTGGGTCAAGTAAATAGACACGGATGGAGTATTATTCTAATGAAAATCATGATCCAAACTTTACTGCCATTGACGTGAAAAGTCAAAAATGACAAAATTTTTAGAGGCGAAAGTAGTATACGACAATAATAAATAAAATAAAAAATGTTGGGAGGGCCAATGCCAACTAAACATATACATAGCTCCGCCTGTGTACGTATACAAGCAATTCGTCAAAAGAATCACAATATCTTTTTGAAAAAGTGTGCGTACACGTTGTTATGTGTACACCAAGAATGACGCTACATACTTACTCCGCAGGTAGAAAGTGCTATGTGTGGATGGGACCACAGCCTACGGTGTTCATCATGGATCCTGATTTAGTTAAGGAGGTTTTCAATAAACATCATGTGTATCAAAAGCCTCAGGGCAACCCGCTAGGAAAGAAGTGGATTCAAGGACTAGTCAGTATTGAGAAAGATGTATGGGCAAAACACCGAAGAATTATTAATCCTGCCTTCTACTCTGAGAAGCTTAAGGTACGTAGATAGGTGTGTTGATAGGTTAAGTCAAGTCGTTTCGATTTAAATATATGATATTATATCTAATTTTTTAGTGTATGAATTTGGTCTAGTTTGCTCAAGTTTTGGAGTAATATGATGTGATCTAATCAACTTAAAAACATCTTAACAAAAATTAGTCCGTTTTTAAAGCACTAATCTGCTAGTTCCGAGTAATTTCACACTGGTCTATGCAAATAAACTTTGACCTTTCAATTATATTATTAGAACTATTAGAAGTACCATATACGAAGTATGATTTTTTGTTTTTTTGAAAGGGTACGAAGTATGATACTATAAAGGTAATTACTTACTATACTTCATATTTAAAGTCTAGTAATGCCAAAATAAGATTGTGAACTTTCGTGATGGCAATTAGGTAAGTTAGGAAAAATATATAGTACTGCTATTTCGAAATTTTGCATTGTTTCTTCTCCTGTTTTAGGAATTTTCCCAAATAGATTCCAGAGTGTAGCAAGTTACCTGCAATGAACCCCACACTTGTGTGACAAATGTTTGAAATTTTAAAATATTCTAGTGTGGGCAAATGGAAAACAATTCACTCCTCACTAAGTCCAAAATATGGGTATATCAAATTCCAAACTCCAGCATGGAAAAATACAGCAGTGACATGCTTCCAAAACTACTAAGTACTTAGTAAGTTTTTTGTCTCTTAAAAACTCAAGTTCAGGTGATGATTTACTAGATAGAAAAAGATGAGATATGGTCATGTATGGCTATACTCAATGGCGTAACCACAGATGCAAATTGGGCTGGGCCCACACAAAGTTTTTTTTTGGTTTTATACATATGTTTTTTACCTAGTAGCTAATATTTAAACTTCTTTTTAAATTTGGGGTGGGCCGTAGCCTAACAAGGCCCCGCCCATCTGCCCATGGCTATACTTCTAATATTCTATAAATTGATAAAACCAAACACTTGCATTGGAACCTTAGTGAGTTTTTCACAAAACTGGCTTCCAACATCCAGTGGCATCCTTTAAGAAACTACTTCTCTGTATAAGTTTGCAAATCAATAGCATGTTCCTACTACATTTGAGTGGCGATTGTACGCAAATTACGACGTAAAAACAACTATATTAAAATTACAATAAAGATACACACTGAATAATCCAAACTGAGATTGAAAATGAGATAATTTTATTACTTACCAAAATTGAAAATTGAAGAGAACAACCATCCTCATATAAAAACAAATTATAACTCAACATCAAAGAGTGAAAGGGAAAAATAGATACATTACTCGAGTAAATAAGAATGATCTCGGTTGTGAAATTCACATAAGAAGAACAAGAAGTGAGAATGCATACAAGTTTTTCGGATCACTGATTTTTATTTTATTGTATCCAATAATAGTATTCTGGTATCAACAGCTTATGCAACCAGCTTTCTTGCTATGCTGCGGTGAAATGGTAAAAAAATGGGAGGGGATTGTTTCAGAAAACGGTTCTTGCGAGCTGGATGTGTGGCCTGACCTTCAAGGCCTAACGTGCGATGTGATCTCTCGAACCGCGTTTGGGAGCAGCTATGAAGAAGGAAAGATTATTTTTGAACTCCAGAAAGAGCAAACCAAGCACTTTTTGGAAGCTGTACGCCATGTTTATGTCCCTGGATGGAGGTATTGAATTAAGCTTACTATAAAATATAGAGTGTTTTCATTAAACACATAAGTTTGTAACTATTCCCATGCAGATTCCTGCCAACTAAGAGGAACAGAAGAATGAGTGCCATCCAAAAGGAAGTGAAATCATCGATCCAGTGTATTATAGACAAGAGGTTGAAGGCTGTGAAGGAAGGAGAGGCTAACAAAGATGATTTGTTAGGCATATTGTTAGAATCTAACACAGAAGAAATAAAAAAATATGGGAAAAAAGAATTCGGAATGAGCATTGAAGATATCATCGAAGAGTGCAAACTGTTCTATTTTGCAGGACAGGAGACTACTTCCGTGTTGCTAGTTTGGACTATGATTCTCCTCAGCAGATTCCAGGATTGGCAAACGCGGGCTAGAGATGAGGTTCTCCACGTTTTTGGCCAGGATGAAAAGCTTGATTTTGAAAAACTAAATAGCCTCAAAGTTGTAAGTATGAGTCCTTACGGTGCTAATAGTGCTCTTTGTATCTTAATAACTAAGCTCTTAATTCTGATATCCTCACCTCATTATTTCAGGTGACAATGATTTTGAATGAGTCCTTGAGGCTATATCCACCAGTAACTAGCCTGTCGAGGAGGATAGCAGAGGAGACAAAACTTGGAGAAATAGTTTTGCCTCCAGGGGCAATGGTGTCATTACCAATACAATTGCTACATCTTGATAGTGAGATATGGGGTGAAGATGTTAAGGATTTCAACCCGGAGAGGTTCAGGGAAGGGATAATTGGAGCAACAAAGGGTATAAACGCTTTCCTCCCGTTTGGCGGGGGGCCTCGAATATGTATTGGCCAAAACTTTGCTTTGGTGGAGGCTAAAATGGCTATCGTAATGATTCTACAACGGTTCTCCTTTGAACTCTCTCCTTCCTATGCTCATGCTCCAATTGCAATAGGGACCACTCATCCTCAACACGGTGCTCCCCTCATTGTGCAAAAGCTCTAATATTACTTATGTATACGATCTTAAGAATAAAACTACTATGTAATTCTGGCAATGTGAAAGTACTACTGTCTGTTATAGACAGTTTTTTTTTTGTTTTACTGTTTTCTATTTCATTCTTGTTTTCAAGAGAAACTATGTCATATCTTATGCTTTAATATTCTACTTCCGTGTATATAAACAAAAAAATTGAAAAAGAAGAGTAAGAAGTTGTCATACCTAAGAATAAATAGATGAACAAATCACATTGGAGACATTCTTGAGGAGGAAAAGGTTTAGCTTTTTGTAAACCAACTGTTGACCTCCCTGTCAAGATGTTAGGTTGTCTAACATTACAGTTCCATTATCAATTCAATGAAACCAACCATTGAGGCTAGGAGTTATGGTTGGGAGGACTGGACCTCAAGTTTGTAAGCGCAGGCGACAATGCCCATCGAATTGGTCAATTGCTTAAGTGTTACCACATGACATCCCGCCCATTCCCGCGAGAACAATCTACAGGCAGCTCTTTGAATTGAGGTCCGAGATCATCAATCTTCCTGATGCTTTGGAAACATATGGAGATGAACCACCCTTCACACTCTGTTGATCACAATAGGCGGCATTGGCAAGCTTGTAGCAGCAACCGCATCCACAAGAGGCGCTGCTGCATCACAAGTGGCTGCAGTGACATTGAACAGATAGAATGCCCCAAATATTTGGTTGCCCCGAACATTTATCAGATTTTTTTGGGATTTCCTCAGCGTTAACTTGAACCACTCAATATTTACTCCCTCCGTTCTTTTTTACTCCGTTCTTTTTTAGTTGCAATGGTCAACATTTCACACTTGCCAACGCACTTCTTTGACCATAATTATTTCTTAATCTCTATTAGTAAAAAATATTTAAAAATTAGATATTGAAAATTTGTAATGAGATGAATTGAATAATATTTTTTTTAAAAATAATTTTCATAAAATAATGACATAAAATGGAGTCAAAGTAGAACATTTGAATAGTGTAAAATTCAACATGTTGCGATTAAAAAGAGACGGAGGATAGTATTTAATACTCTCTCGGTCCCAAAAAGGTTAGTCAATTTTGACTTTTGTGGATTAATAAACTAAAAATTGTGTAGTTGAAATTTGTGTAGAGAAGAGATAATTAACTTTAGCCACATATTCCTTACTTTAAATAGAAATAACAAATCTTTTTGGGACATCCAAAAAAAGAAATTTGACAAATTTTTTCGTGACGGAGGGAGTAGATAAATGATACTTTATTATCTATTAAATTTCAACATTCTTAATTGAGATAGTTTCAAACATGTGACCTTATTCAGAATGTTATAGTTATTAGTTATACCATCGAACCACAAGATGTTAAATATATCAAATCCTCTCGTGGAATAAAAATTTAACACATTTGCTATTGTAATTTAAAAAATGCGTCAAACTCTCGCATGTTATAGACATATATTTATTCATGCGCAAAACACATTCTATGAACAAATTTAATTACCAAAAAGATGAAAAATAATTATCATTTTGTATTGAAATCTTGAAAATGTTGCTTACATGTTCAGTCATATTTTAGGAAACGTGATTTCAGAAATGGAAGAGGTTTTGTACATCAATTGTTATAACACATGAGATTTTGATGCATTTTTTGAATAACAAGGTGTTAATGTACCAAATTTATATATCACGAGGGGGGGGGGGGGGGTTGATGCATTAAATTCATGATATTAGAGTGGCATTATTCTTTAATACTAAATTTTATCAATAGACTTTGCTCAAACTTTTTTTTAAAATATTTTTGTAAAAAGTTCAATTGAGACATTTACATTTCTCATCACCAAAAGAGAGCATCAATTCCAATAACGAAATAATATTACTATTAAATATTAAATAATAAAAAATAATGAAAAAAATATAATTATGTCACAATGTCTAAAAATATTAATGACAATATATGATTATGTCAATACAACAATTTTTTTTAATGAATTCGGCTTATATTAATAACCAATAAAATTCAGGGTATGAGTCAAATGATAAAAAAAATCTGACAACCGTTATCCCGCGAACCAGACTCGGAATTAATCGCCGTAGCAATATAATTCGCTGATCCATAAATGGGAAACTAAAAGCCAAAAACGGCCACTATATTCCTCTCATCCCCCATATCCAAAATCAACATCTTACAAACAGGAACAATAAAGAAAAAGCATATAACAAGACAGACATAAAGATCACTGGAAAAACTAACAAAACAAATAAGATAAGTCTTCTTCCAAACCCTAGTTTTGCCTGCACTCCATGGCGACGGCTCAGGAGGGACTCGCTTGCCGCTCATCCGCCACCACCTCACCATCAGCTTCATCTCGATCCAGTTCTTGTTCCTCTGCCCCATTCGCCATCTTCTTGTATTTGTCCACGAAGCTATCCTTGCACAATTGTTACACTAACCTTCTGCCGAAAACTTCGAACCTGCTCATTGTCGAGGCCAAAAACCTTAGGCACAATTAAAACAACCACTGAATGTCTTGCTCGAATCAACCAAGACATATCCCAACCGATTAGGTCGATGACTCCAATCCCAAAAAAGAAACAAGAATAAGAATACATAAGTCGTATTTTAAATAAGAATAAGATCCCAACCGCTGGAGACAACTTATGTATTCTAAATAAGAATACATAAGTCGTATTTTGAAAAGAAAAAAATGATATTTGTAATTAAGAAAAGTTTATATCTTTTAATTTTATTTAGGGAGTTCCCTATTTCCTAATAATAGCGTAGAGTAATTACGTTTCCATATTTATGTTGTTTCCTATTGTAATTAGAACACTTAAGACTCTCTCTCTATGTATATGATATTCACGGCTACTAGTTGGGGATGCCTCATTATTATTCTAACATGGTATCTGAGGTGTAAGGTTTTAACCTAGTTTTTTTATATGACTTCCTCGGCCGCCATCTCTATTTCTACGGCAGCGCCGTACACTGCCACCAATGTAACCATGCCGACGTCATCCTCCACGATGGCTTCTCTTTTAACTTCTTCCCAGCTGTCGCAAACCTCCACTGGTTCTCTTATTTTCCTGAAGTTTGAGCGATCTCCAACCCTATTCGCATCGTCGTCCCTAAGTTTTGGTTTGCGGGTACCTCCGGTCTTCACATGGACTCTAACACCTCCAACACTGCATATTGTGCCGTCTGCCGCACAACCTCAAACTGCCGACTCCATGGACTGTCACTACTCATCAGGCAGTGCAACTACCGCAAAGGTTCGTGGTTATTTGCCACTCTCTCTCATGACGTACTCATAGAGGTTCATGATTAAAAAATTCTTTTCCTGTCTGGGAACGACATGAGTCCCAATATATGTCTGCAAGTCCGGATTGTGCTATGGAGCTCAAGCGTATGCTTAGTCATTACAAAAAGAAGAAAAATCAGTCCATGGAGCACTTTCTGCGTGATATTAAAATAATTGATGATGCCTTACAGTATACTATCCTTGGTTTGGTCCCAAAGTATGAAACATTAATCATAGGTGTTGATTTGTTTCCCGATCGCTTCACTTTTGAGAGTCTTCGTACCAAGCTTGTTCATCAGGAACAATGTCTTGCATACCGACGCAGCTAGGAGTCCCCGACCATGTCACTAGCCTTTGTCGCCGCATCATCAGCTCCAGCCGCCTCAACATCCTCTCGGCTCGGACCTCAGCCATATAAGTACATCCTTTCATGATAGAGGTGACCACCGTGGTCAGCGTGACCGCGACAATCGAGGTCCTGGACGTGGCGGATACGGCCACCCGGCTACGGACAACATCACGAGTACGCGCGGTCATCATACGGGGTATGGGCAGTTCCCCAGCCTTCACATGGACATTTTCAGCCACCTGGCAGCTAACCTACATGTAATTCTGGTACAATATTTTGTAATTCTGTTGAGTCATCATTTTATATTTATGCTCTATCAGCTTCCGCTACTAATGTTGGTTCTGCAGGATCACCCTCATTATTTGATGGAGTTTTAGGTTTTGTCCCTCCTCGTTGTTTGTCAAATATGATATTCTCCAGGTCATTCTATTGTTGCTTGTCCGTCTCACTTTGTCTCACCTTTCAATCATGCTCTTGCTTCTTCATGGTGAATCAACCAATGCTGTTTGGTATCCTCACTCTGAGACTTCCTCTCATATGACATCAAATGAAGGTATTTTATTAATAAAATTGCGGTCCTTTACATGTAACTGTGGTAAATGGACTAATCTCCCAATTAAGCATATTGGTGAATGGTGATGTTGTTTTAAATTCTCTTCCCCGACCTCAAAATTTAAGATCTGCCCATCATCGTGTTCCCCATATAAAATATAATTTGCTTTTCATTCAAAAATTATGTGCCAATAACAACTATTTTGTAGTATTTGATAAAAATTGCAATTTTATAAAGAACAAAATCATGGGGGAAGTGCTTCCTTAAGCTTCCAGTAATGGTGTGGTCTATCCTATCACCTTTTCATCCTCACATCCTCTGGCCTTAATTACACATGCGGCTTCTGCTTCAATCTGGCATAGATGTTTGGGACATTGTGGGGACCATATTTTATCTCTTTTAAAACATTTTGGAATTATTACTAATATTTCTCAATTTTCCCATGATTGCATTTTCATCATTCTACCG